TTGAAGGCCCCCCCACAGCTGTTCTTCCAGGCCAACAACGTTTAAAAGTAACAAAGTGATCTGTACATTGATGGAATCCTTTTTCTGTTAGCATAGTTAGGGCCCAAAACACTGACAAGGGTGAAGGACCCTCTTGGAACCCTAATGATTATGATTAGGGCCCGAGCACAAACAGTGCGAGGACTCTCTTGAAACCCTAATGATTATTAGGGCTCAAGAACGAACCGTGCGTAGGACCCTCTTGGAACCCTCTTGGAACCCTCTTGGAACCCAAGTGATTAATATTAGTACCCAAAGCACTGACAAGTGCGTAGGACCCTCTTGGAACTGAAAGGATTATTGCTATTCTTCCACCACTTCGCGCTCATTTTTGACAGCTTTAACGTGCGTGAAAACTCACCAACATTTCCCCAAAATTTTCCCCCGTGCGAACTTGACGTATGAAAGCGTTTCAGTGCACATACGTTAAAAAATGGCTCTACGGCGCCCCCAAACGTGAGTTAGGGTACTGCGCTTAACCTACATCCATGAACACTTTGTACACGTGTCTTGGTGAGACGAACAAAAAGTTACATTATGACCATACTTTTAAACGTACAGGAAGCCCGCTATTTACACTTCAATTTCAAAATAAGACGATTTTGTGCTACCTATTTGAAGGATCTTGGCCGAGGGCGCTCATCCGTTCAACGAAAACTCAGTGTCAGTGTGTTCAATACAATATACAATATACAACTGTAACTTTTAACTCTTCTTATATTTTTACTTTATTTATTTCAAGTAATTTCATTTGAATTATTTTTACTTGAACATATGTTCAGATTCAATAACTCCAGTGATTTTTTTTTTTTAATGTTTTATTTTAATGTTTCTTTTCTTTCCTCTGTCATGATGCTTTTGATGTCTTGTGTGAAGCACTTTGAATTGCCTTGTTGTTGAAATGGGCTATATAAATAAACTTGCCTTGCCTTAACCATAGCGCCTCCTACTGCAAGGAATAAGTACTACACAATGCTCAATTTGATCCATATTTCATAGCTATCATGGCAGTGCCAGCCTGAACTGCTCTACGTCAAAATTTTCTGTGATCTTCCTCACGCTGCCTATTTCAGCATACCATAGTATGACTTTTACACAAATCGAACTGCACGGTCTGCTGCTTAGCCACGTTCCGCTGCTGCTGCACTCCCGCGGTCGCAACACAGCCACTTTTGAGGGCCTGAACGTGCCCAAAAAACTCACCAAACTTTCCACGGCCATCAGGTCTGGTGAAAGATTTGAAATTTTTGTGGTTTCGTAAACGGAGTTCGAGCACAAATTCAAGATGAATTTCACGATAATGGCCCAAAATCACTCAAAATCGCTGATTTCAGCCTTCCTATTTGAACGCACTTCTCCGAGGGCGCTGATCCGATCAACGCACACTCAGTGTCAGTGCGTTCTACACAGACTCAACATATCTCGTTGTGTTCCGCACGCTATTTCATCAAAGGGCGTGGCCGTGGCGTGCGTTTTAAGTTTTTTGTGCGTTTTGGCAAGTTGCCAAAAAAGTAAATGCTTATCTCTCAGCCGGGACCCGTCCTGAACACGTCCATGATACTGGACCCGTCCTGAACACGTCCATGATACTGGACTCGCCCTGAACACGGGTCCCGTCCATGATACTGGACCCGCCCTGAACACGTCCATGATACTGGACCCGCCCTGAACACGCCCATGATACTGGACCCGCCCTGAACACGTCCATGATACTGGACCCGTCCTGAACACGCCCACGATACTGGACCCGTCCTGAACACGGGTCCCGTCCATGATACTGGACTCGCCCTGAACACGTCCATGATACGGGACCCGCCCTGAACACGTCCATGATACTGGACCCGTCCTGAACACGTCCATGATACTGGACTCGCCCTGAACACGTCCATGATACGGGACTCGCCCTGAACACGTCCATGATACTGGACCCGCCCTGAACACGTCCATGATACTGGACCCGTCCTGAACACGCCCACGATACTGGACCCGTCCTGAACACGGGTCCCGTCCATGATACTGGACTCGCCCTGAACACGTCCATGATACGGGACTCGCCCTGAACACGTCCATGATACTGGACCCGTCCTGAACACGTCCATGATACTGGACCCGCCCTGAACACGTCCATGATACGGGACCCGCCCTGAACACGTCCATGATACTGGACCTCCCCTGAACACGTCCATGATACTGGACCCGCCCTGAACACGTCCATGATACGGGACCCGTCCTGAACACGTCCATGATACTGGACCTCCTGAACACGTCCATGATACTGGACCCGCCCTGAACACGTCCATGATACTGGACCCGCCCTGAACACGCCCATGATACTGGACCCGTCCTGAACACGTCCATGATACTGGACCCGCCCTGAACACGTCCATGATACTGGACCCGCCCTGAACACGCCCATGATACGGGACCCGTCCTGAACACGTCCATGATACTGGACCTCTGAACACGTCCATGATACTGGACCCGCCCTGAACACGCCCATGATACTGGACCCGCTCTGAACACGCCCATGATACGGGACCCGTCCTGAACACGTCCATGATACTGGACCTCCCCTGAACACGTCCATGATACTGGACCCGTCCTGAACACGGGTCCCGTCCATGATACGGGACTCGTCATGAACACGTCCATGATACGGGACTCGCCCTGAACACGTCCATGATACTGGACCTCCCCTGAACACGTCCACGATACTGGACCCGCCCTGAACACGTCCATGATACGGGACCCGTCCTGAACACGTCCATGATACTGGACCTCCCCTGAACACGTCCACGATACTGGACCCGCCCTGAACACGTCCATGATACGGGACCCGTCCTGAACACGTCCATGATACTGGACCTCCCCTGAACACGTCCATGATACTGGACCCGCCTGAACACGTCCATGATACGGGACCCGTCCTGAACACGTCCATGATACTGGACCCGCCCTGAACATGCCCATGATACTGGACCTCCCCTGAACACGTCCATGATACGGGACCCGCCCTGAACATGCCCATGATACTGGACCTCCCCTGAACACGTCCATGATACGGGACCCGTCCTGAACACGTCCATGATTGACATTTTTTGATTAGTCACAGCGCCACCTGTTGACAACAGGAAGTTACTGCTTCTCAATTAGCATTAGCCATTGCTACACGGTAGCTCAATTCCCCCTCAGATTTGGTGTGGGCCATGCTAACACCAAATCAAACGCCTACGTCCAACACTGTCGCCGTACAGACGCGTCGCTCGCCATCAAACAGGAAGTAGTTTTTTCACGGGCTTAACATAGTCGTACTGTCCCGAAACTTCATACATATGATCCTGGTGGTGAAGTCAAACATGTTATACTGTTTAAGTGAGTGGGCGTGGCTTAATGGCTCAGTGGCGCCCCCTACAATATTTCAAACATTCAGCCCCCGCAGCACGTTGAACCTACAATTCTGAATTTTACTGCATTTCCAACATGACAAAAAAGCCTCTTCAACCCACGCCCAAAACTCAACAGGAAGTCTACAAATCACATCGCCATCAAACAGGAAGTGGCTGTAACTCTTAAATACTTTGTCTGATCTTCTTGAAATTACATTGCTATGATCAGGGTTGGCCTCTGAACACATTGACATAACAATAGTCAACTTTAACCATAGCGCCCTCTAATGCAAGGACTAAGCACTACATCATATATACTTTGTCTGATCTGCTTAAAATTTCTCAGGTATGTTCAGGGTTGGCCTCTGGACACAATGACAAAACAATAATAAAGTTTACAATAGTCAACTTCAACCATAGCGTCCCCTACTGCAAGGACTAAGTACTACATCCTATACACAATGCTCAATTTCCTCCACATTTCATAGCTATCGTGACAGTGCCAGCCATAACTGCTCTACGTCCAAATTTTGTGTTCTTCATTACGTTGCCTATTTCAACATGCCAGTACTACGACGTTTACACAAATTGAACTGCACGGCCTGCTGCTTAGCCACGTTCCGCTGCTGCTGCACTCCCGCAGTCGCAACACACCCCGACATGCACAGGGGTGCGAGGGCCCTTCATCACCGCTTGCGGTTTTAATTGAATTTGTTGTTTGACTTTGTGCTTTTATTGTAGTCTGTGTTCAGTCTATGACTCTAATTATGTTGGGAAATGCAGCGATGGCAAGAAATCCCTGTCTGCGTTGCTGTTCGGGAATTGGATATGGCCGGGGTCATGATCCTGCTCAAGTCTCCAACCTCACGCTGGAATGTACCGCTGAACAAAAATCCCCCAGGAGATGGAAATGCACAGGGATGGCTCTTGTGCATTGTGTTTCTCCCTCCAACAGAGGTCATAGTTCACGACACAACTCTAATAATATGTTTATTGGAAAGTGGTAGCGGTAAGCGACTCACAGACGGCTCGTTGGTTATTTTCTCTTTATTAGGTTCAGTGGGTGAAGTTACATTCAGTCAGGTTGAAATTATAAAGAAAATGAAACAGGATTATTTAAAAAGTGACACCAGGGGCGTGGTCAATGTGTATAATTATAAGAGGGGGCGTGGTCAATGTGTATAATTATAAGAGGGGGCGTGGTCAATGTGTCATCAAGCTAACCTGTGAAAAGGAGCGTCACAAACTCAGATTTATGAGAATACATTCAAAGAAGTCCAATCATTGAATTTGTTTGTAATATTATTTCTACTAGCTCAGTCCATATATGGGTACTTGTTTTCTTCTGGTCGTTGGCTGTTTCATGGGGGCGTGGTCAAAGTGGAATATTACAATATGAGGAATGGTCAGAGCTGGGCACACTTCTGTTTGCTGTTAAATTTAGAATTCATTTTTGAGGTTGACTTTCATTTGAAAAATGAAAAACAGAACATTTAACTTCCGTTAAATGTGGTTTCCGTTACATTAAGAACATATGTGAAGAGGTGGTTTACATGGTCAGATCAACACTTTATATAGAAGGGATTAATGGTTTACAGAATCACAGATGAACTGTGCCCACCTCTGGGAACGGATAACAATGTGGGCGTGGTCAGTGATCAAACAAACAAACAGAATCAAAAAAATCAACTAAAAAGACATGAGAGAAATGATTCACAACACGATGGCAGAATGGCACAGAACTATTGCATTATGGGTATGCTACAAAGTTAGTTCTGACATTGTTAGCATTTAGCATTTCTGACTTCTGTTGGAGTGATGAAAAATGTTTCCTGAATATTTCATGAAGCCGTTTCCTCCAATCACAAACACTCGTTTACCAAACAGCTGCATTTGGTTCATCTCTGTCTTAAGTGTGACATCACAAATGAAGCTCTCAACTAAATCTAATCTCATTATCAAGCTAACGCTAACTGAAGCTAATACTGACCCCACCTCTCAGACAGACAGGTGCTTCTTTATGTGTGTGTGTGTGTGTGTGTGTGTGTGTGTGTGTGTGTGTGTGAGTGTGTGTGTGTAGGTGAGCATGCATGTGTACAGGTCAAATAGTGTCTTAGGTTGTAGTCTGAACTACAACTCCCATGAAGCAGCAGCACCTGTAGAATCAGTCCTGAAAGAGAGACAGAGACACCGTTAGACCATGGAAACAAAATGGAATATTTTACATCTACTATTCATTCAATGATAAATAAACGCTGTTTATAAAAGTTTAACCAATAAATCAATCAAGTGGAATAATCGTTCATCTTTAAAACACCTGACAGGTGAAGAATAACTTCCAGGTTCATTTTTAACACATTTTGTTTCTCATTTTTAAGAAACACATTTTATTTCTTTCTATTGATCAAGTGATTGATTTATCTGCCTTTTTTTCATCGTCACACAGGAAATGAAAGCAAACACTCTAATCTGACCAATCGATGAGCCCGATTTATCAGGATAGCACTGTATAGCACATTAGCATGTTAGCACAACAGATTAGCATGTAAGCAAGCCTTAAAAGACGGTTGCAGATGTCAGCATGGCATTTGGAATGAATGTGTTTAAAGATGCATAGCAGGGGGTTGGTACTCTTCTCCTCACAAGTGCCCTACATGATGTCACAGGATTACTATTTACATAGCATGTTAGCTTAGCATTTATTGCAAGACATTATGATGTGTTGATTGATCAACGCTCCATAGGATTGTTTCATCAATGTTCAGCTGACTGAACAGGATGGCTGCATGCTCCTAACCAATCAGAAGCTGTCCTTCTCTTCCTGTGTTCTATCCAATCAGAAGCTGTCCTTCTCTTCCTGTGTTCTAATCAATCAGAAGCTGTCCTTCTCTTCCTGTGTTCTATCCAATCAGAAGCTGTCCTTCTCTTCCTGTGTTCTAACCAATCAGAAGCTGTCCTTCTCTTCCTGTGTTCTATCCAATCAGAAGCTGTCCTTCTCTTCCTGTGTTCTAATCAATCAGAAGCTGTCCTTCTCTTCCTGTGTTCTATCCAATCAGAAGCTGTCCTTCTCTTCCTGTGTTCTATCCAATCAGAAGCTGTCCTTCTCTTCCTGTGTTCTATCCAATCAGAAGCTTGGGCGTCCTGATCGTTGAAGTTGAAGATACTGCATTCATGTGGTACTGGACACATCGGGAAGTGAACACCTGAGAACAATGAGGCGACATGCCCACTTGACGTCAGAATGGTCGTTGTTAATGTTAAGATACTTTTTATGAATTCACCTAAAATACAACTTTTGCTAAAATACAACTCTTGACAGAGACTTTCACACATCTTCTTCGTAGCATCCTTTTGTCGTTACAAAGTTCCAACTTTTCGAACTGAAATCCCGTGAACGCAAACTGGGACCATCAGAGGAGCACATGAATGCAGCAATAGACCCATTATTGTGAATGTTGCCATGCAGCAGCCAATCCGTTTCCAGCATCCAGTGACCCTCAGTGTTACCTGTGATGTCACTATAACCTGATCAGGTGACACTTCGGTTTCTTTATGGACGACCACACGTGTGACGGACAGCTCAGGATGCTGCCGCCGCGCCTCGCTGAGCGCCGCTGCAAGAGCCTTTAACAGAAACACCAGGTCAAAGGTCAACACCTAACTCCAACCCAGGTCAAGGGTCAGCACCTGTCCCAGGTTAATCCAGGTCTGTAACAGGTTAATCCAGGTCTGTCCCAGACAGCTCTGGTTCTTTTTCCTGACATTTTTAGGGACCGAAGCACTGACAACTGCGTAGGACCCTCTTGAAACCCAAGGAATTATTATTTTTCTTCTTCCTCCACTTTAAACGCGATTTTGAGGGCCTGAACGTGCGCAAAAACTCACCAAACTTTCCAAGGTCATCAGGTCTCGCAAAAAATTTGATTTTGATCAAAATGGCCTCCCTATAGAGGGTTTTTTCACGTACACTCACGAAAATTGGTACGCATATTAAGCTTCTCGGGACGGACTAAAAATCCTGTTGCAGCGTTTCAAAAAACCCAACAGGAAGTCCACAAATTCAAGTTGAATTTCACAAAAACGGCCCAAAATCGCAGATTTCAGCCTTCCGATTTGAAGAATCTTGCCCGAGGGCGCTCATCCCATCGGCGCAAACTCAGTGTCAGTGCGTTCTAGACAGGATCAGTATATCTCGTTGTGCTCTGCACGTTATTTTGTCAAAGGGCGTGGCCGTGGCGTGCGTTAGAACTTTTTTGTGCGTTTTGGTAACTTGCCAAAAAAGTAAATTGAAATATCTCTGCCATGCAGTGTTCAATCATATTAAAATTTCATATTAAAATTTCTCATACATGATACATGAAGGGACCCGCCCTGAACACATCCATGATTGAAATGTTTTGCTTAGTCACAGCGCCACCTGTTGACAACAGGAAGTTACTGCTTCTCAGTTAGCATTAGCCATTGCTACAACGTAGCTCATTTCCCGCTCAGAATTGGTGGGGACCATTCAAACACTTTGGCCATACAACACTTTCAAGCTCAAACACCTACGTCCAACACTCTCGCCAAACAGATGCATCATTCGCCGTCAAACAGGAAATGGTTGTAACTCTCATACTTTGTCTGATCTGCCTCAAATCACACAGGTGTAATGAGGGTTGGCCTCTGAACACATTGACATAACAATAGTCAACTTTAACCATAGCGCCCCCTCCTGCAAGGAGTAAGTACTACATCCTATATACTTTGTCTGATCTACTTCAAATTACACATGTATGATCAGGGTTGGCCCCTGAAAACATAGACATAACAATAGTCAATTTTAACCATAGCGCCTCCTACTGCAAGGAATAAGTACTACACAATGCTCAATTTCCTCCATATTTCATAGCTATTGTTGGGCCACGCAGGTTTAGGACAGTCAAACAATGGACTTGGGCCTGCACCTCTGTTTGAAGCCTCATTTGAGTTATTCACTGAGATCACAAAGAGGCCTAAAAGGACTCTTAATCCCAGAATCCCCTGCGGTACTTCACACCTACGCGTGAAGTAAGGGGGGGACCGGAACCTCTCTCTCCTCATTGGAGGGGACCTGAGGTAGACCCCCCATGGAGCAGGCCAGGCTACAAAGCTCCAAGACTTCCATTGTTCTTTCTCTTTCCACGCGCTGACTTCAAGTGTTCGGAGACACAAGCTCACCTCCTGTTTCCTGCAACCGTCTTCCTTTGTTTTAAGTTTTTTTGGCGCGCAGGTAATCCGCGGCCGGCAGTGTTCTAAATTCCGAGCTCGGATTGTCCAGTGAACGCATCTCAGTTTCTCGGAGAGCGTCAGACTATAACAGATTATCAGAAAGATAACGGTCTTATTCCGTCCTGCAACGAAAGGACATCAAAGGACATCTTTCCACTCGACGGAGAACCAACGAAGCCGCTCTCGCCGTAAGGGACCCTCGCCACCATCAGACGCCTCTGCACCAGGACGGACAGAAGATCTGCTCCATCACCGGACTCTTTTCCTTTCACCAATCGCGGACAAAGCGATTCACAAGTGAGGCTTAATTAGGTCTGGGCAGAATTAGCTTTAGAGAGTGTTTTTAACAATTGTTGATCGAAGCAGAAACTGTAATTTTTATCTTTGTTGGACCTGCGTCCTGAGTTTTAACTGTTTAAAACTCTTGTTGTTATTTCGGACCGCTGCGTCCTATATGTGTTTAGCGTAACAGCGTTATAACCGGGTATTACTCTTCTGATCAGAAAGGCCAGTGTAAGCCGTATTAACCTGAATTCGGCTATTGGTTTGTTTCTGTGAATGAAGGTAATTACTCCGAGTTGTGGCGCGGGAGTCGGACTGTGATCCGGCCTCTTCAGGCACGCATTTCTCTTTTATTCTCTTTTATTTCCCCTTCTATGAACACACACACACACACACACACACACACACACACACACACACACACACACACACACACACACACACACACACACACACACACACACACACACACATACCTTCCACAAGCCTTTGCTTGATAATGTTTGTTGCTTAGGTTAGTTTATAATAGTTATTTGTTTGATTAAGTTCATTGATTTTGGATTGATGTTCTTTGTTTAAATAAATTCTGTTATAATTTAAGACAGCAGTTGTTTGTGGTTACTGGTGTATTTACATTGTGATATAAGCTGAGAAGGCTTTGTGTACGGATTTCACGCCTTCATTAAATATAGTTATTCATTATTAATAATATTAGTAATTAAATAACTAATGTGAGACTGATTTGAGTGATATTTTGGTTATATTTACCTGATTACAGGTTGGTGCCCCAAAACGAGATTAAACATAATTTAATGATATTTTATTTATATTATTAATAATTAAGTATAATTATTAAAGAATATAACCAAAGTTGACTTGATACAACCCCAACACTATCATGACAGTGCCAGCCTGAACTCCTCTACGTCAAAATTTTCTGTGATCTTCCTTACGCTGCCTATTTCAACATACCATAGTATGACTTTTACACAAATCGGACTGCACGGCCTGCTGCTTAGCCACGTTCCGCTGCTGCTGCACTCCCGCGGTCGCAACACACCCCGACATGCACAGGGGTGCGAGGGCCCTTCATCACCGCTTGCGGTTTTTATTTTAATTACTTTCTGTGTTTTAAATGCTCTAAGTGTTTTAGACGGTACCTGGTCGTGGTCGATTTCTGTGTCCCCAGAAATCACGATTCTCTTCTCGATTCGGGTTTCTGAAATTCCTCCTTTAACCATCTGTGGACAAAATCAGGAGCAGAGTCAGGATCAGGATTCAAATCAGGATTATACTCAGGATTATACTCAGGATCAGGATTCAAATCGGGATCAGGATTATACTCAGACTCAGGATTAAAATCAGGATCAGGATTATACGCAGGATCAGAATTATACTCAGGATCAGGATTAAAATCAGGATCATACTCAGGATCAGGATTAAAATCAGGCACAGGATTAAAATCAGGATCAGGATTAAAATCAGGATCAGGATTATACTCAGGATCAGGATCAGGATTAAAATCAGGATCAGGGTTATACTCAGGATCAGGATTAAAGTCAGGATCAGGATTGTACTCAGGATCAGGATCAGGGGTTTGGTCTCATTCTGTCATTAAGATTTAATAAACATCAGCATGGTTACCACGGTGATTGTTGTTACCTTGGTGATGTGCGTAGTGGTGCTGGTGTTGGGGGTCTCTGCAGTGAAGGTCTGGGAGCTCAGCAGCAGACCTGCAGAGGAATCAGAGTCTGTCCGACACTGAAGCACACACACACACACACACACACACACACACACACACACACACACACACACACATTGATTGTGTATTTTTGTGATGATGATGTCAGCAGTTAAAATTCATCTGGAAGTTATTTGATCTGACGGTCCTTGAAGGCACCACGTTTGTTCTGATGATAAATTAGTTTAATAATAATGAAGCTTTCTTACCCCCGGAGCTTCATAGGTCAGAGTTTTCCTCATCACTGGGACCTCCTGAGAGCAAACACAGATCATGAACAGATTATTTATATCATGAAATAAGAATCCAAAAACCAAAGACTCATAATCTCAGAGGAGGGCACTCCCTCCTCCTCAATGTAAATCCTGCAGCAATAACAGGAAAGAGGATTATTGGATCCCTGGAGTGGAGGAAAAGTTGGGCTAGGCTACCAGGGCAGGGCTAACTGGGCTAGGTTAACTGGGCTGGGCTAACTGGGGCTGGGTTACTTGGGGCTGGGTTAACTGGGGATGGATTACATGGGGCTGGGTTAACTAGGCTGGGTTAACTGGGCTGGGTTAACTGGGCTGGGCTAACTGGGCTGGGTTAACTGGGTTGGGTTAACTGGGCTGGGCTAACTGGGCTGGGTTAACTGGGCTGGGTTAACTGGGTTGGGTTAACTGGGGATGGATGACTTGGGGCTGGGTTAACTGGGGATGGATTACATGGGGATGGATTACATGGGGCTGGGTTAACTGGGCTGGGTTAACTGGGCTGGGTTAACTGGGCTGGGTTAACTGGGCTGGGTTAACGGGGCTGAGCTAACTGGACTGGGTTAACTGGGCTGGGTTAACTGGGGATGGATTACATGGGGCTGGGTTAACTGGGCTGGGTTAACTGGGACTGGGTTAACTGGGCTGGGTTAACTGGGCTGGGTTAACGGGGCTGGGTTAACTGGACTGGGTTAACTGGGCTGGGTTAACTGGGGATGGATTACATGGGGCTGGGTTAACTGGGCTGGGTTAACTGGGACTGGGTTAACTGGGTTGGGTTAACTGGGGATGGATTACTTGGGGCTGGGTTAACTGGGCTGGGTTAACTGGGCTGGGTTAACTGGGCTGGGTTAACGGGGCTGGGCTAACTGGACTGGGTTAACTGGGCTGGGTTAACTGGGATGGATTACATGGGGCTGGGTTAACTGGCTGGTTAACTGGGACTGGGTTAACTGGGTTGGGTTAACTGGGGATGGATTACTTGGGGCTGGGTTAACTGGGCTGGGTTAACTGGGTTGGGTTAACTGGGCTGGGCTAACTGGGCTGGGTTAACTGGGGATGGATTACTTGGGGCTGGGTTAACTGGGGCTGGGTTAACTGGGCTGGGTTAACTGGGCTGGTTAACTGGGGCTGGGCTAACTGGACTGGGTTAACTGGGCTGGGTTAACTGGGCTGGGTTAACTGGGGCTGGGTTAACTGGGGCTGGGCTAACTGGGCTGGGTTAACTGGGCTGGGTTAACTGGGCTGGGTTAACTGGGGCTGGGCTAACTGGACTGGGTTAACTGGGCTGGGTTAACTGGGCTGGGTTAACTGGGGCTGGGTTAACTGGGCTGGGTTAACTGGGATGGATTACATGGGCTGGGTTAACTGGGCTGGGTTAACTGGGGATGGATTACTTGGGGCTGGGTTAACTGGGCTGGGTTAACTGGGTTGGGTTAACTGGGCTGGGCTAAGTGGGCTGGGTTAACTGAGCTGGGTTAACTGGGTTGGGTTAACTGGGGATGGATGACTTGGGGCTGGGTTAACTGGGGATGGATTACTTGGGGCTGGGTTAACTGGGGCTGGGTTAACTGGGCTGGGTTAACTGGGCTGGGTTAACTGGGCTGGGTTAACTGGGGATGGATTACATGGGCTGGGTTAACTGGGCTGGGTTAACTGGGCTGGGTTAACTGGGCTGGGTTAACTGGGCTGGGTTAACTGGGGCTGGGTTAACTGGGGCTGGGTTAACTGGGGCTGGGCTAACTGGACTGGGTTAACTGGGGCTGGGTTAACTGGGGCTGGGCTAACTGGACTGGGTTAACTGGGCTGGGTTAACTGGGCTGGGTTAACTGGGCTGGGTTAACTGGGGCTGGGTTAACTGGGCTGGGTTAACTGGGGCTGGGTTAACTGGGCTGGGTTAACTGGGCTGGGTTAACTGGGGCTGGGTTAACTGGGGCTGGGTTAACTGGGCTGGGTTAACTGGGCTGGGTTAACTGGGGATGGATTACTTGGGGCTGGGTTAACTGGGCTGGGTTAACTGGGGTTGGGTTAACTGGGGCTGGGTTAACTGGGCTGGGTTAACTGGGCTGGGTTAACTGGGGCTGGGTTAACTGGGGCTGGGTTAACTGGGCTGGGTTAACTGGGCTGGGTTAACTGGGGCTGGGTTAACTGGGCTGGGTTAACTGGGCTGGGTTAACTGGGCTGGGTTAACTGGGGCTGGGTTAACTGGGCTGGGTTAACTGGGCTGGGTTAACTGGGCTGGGTTAACTGGGGCTGGTTAACTGGGGATGGATTACATGGGGCTGGGTTAACTGGGCTGGGTTAACTGGGCTGGGTTAACTGGGCTGGGTTAACTGGGGCTGGGTTAACTGGGGCTGGGTTAACTGGGGCTGGGCTAACTGGACTGGGTTAACTGGGCTGGGTTAACTGGGGCTGGGCTAACTGGACTGGGTTAACTGGGCTGGGTTAACTGGGCTGGGTTAACTGGGGCTGGGTTAAGTGGGGCTGGGTTAACTGGGCTGGGTTAACTGGGCTGGGTTAACTGGGGATGGATTACTTGGGCTGGGTTAACTGGGCTGGGTTAACTGGGGTTGGGTTAACTGGGGCTGGGTTAACTGGGCTGGGTTAACTGGGCTGGGTTAACTGGGGCTGGGTTAACTGGGCTGGGTTAACTGGGCTGGTTAACTGGGCTGGGTTAACTGGGCTGGGTTAACTGGGGATGGATTACATGGGGCTGGGTTAACTGGGCTGGGTTAACTGGGGCTGGGTTAACTGGGCTGGGTTAACTGGGCTGGGTTAACTGGGCTGGGTTAACTGGGCTGGGCTAACTGGACTGGGTTAACTGGGCTGGGTTAACTGGGCTGGGCTAACTGGACTGGGTTAACTGGGCTGGGTTAACTGGGCTGGGTTAACTGGGGCTGGGTTAACTGGGGCTGGGTTAACTGGGCTGGGTTAACTGGGGCTGGGCTAACTGGACTGGGTTAACTGGGGCTGGGTTAACTGGGGCTGGGCTAACTGGACTGGGTTAACTGGGCTGGGTTAACTGGGCTGGGTTAACTGGGGCTGGGTTAACTGGGGCTGGGTTAACTGGGCTGGGTTAACTGGGGCTGGGTTAACTGGGCTGGGTTAACTGGGGCTGGGTTAACTGGGCTGGGTTAACTGGGCTGGGTTAACTGGGCTGGGTTAACTGGGCTGGGTTAACTGGGCTGGTTAACTGGGGCTGGTTAACTGGGGCTGGGTTAACTGGGGCTGGGTTATGTGGAGCAGGTGTCCGTCTCCGGTGTTACCTCCTGCAGAGGTTCTGAATCTTCGTCATCATCATCACTGTTTTCTGAAGGCTGTGTCTGGTTGGTCGAGCAGAGGGAGGTAGGGCATGGTACAGAGGGGGGAGGGGAGTTTTCTCCAAAGCTCCAACCCCCCTCCTCCTCCTCCTCCTCTGAACGGTCAGAATCCTCATCCTCATGGTAATGATGAAACAGACTCGAGGTGGGTCGGGACACCATGGCAGAATGGATTCTAGTGCTGGGACTGTTGTTAGCGTCCATGCTAGGTAGCAGCTGCTCACTGTGGCTTACTATAAAGTTAGCATTGATGCTATTCTGTTCAGCATCATTAGCCTCTGTGCTCTGATCCTGTCTCACTGCTGCCTCCATGGCTTCCTCCACTGCAGCCTGTGCTAGTACACTGATAGCATCTTCGCTAGCGTAGCTAGCATCATCTTCACTAGTCTGGCTACTAGGCTCGTCATCGCTGACATCATCATCAGTGATGACATGTTTATCTGCTTCACAGTTAACCTGGTTAGCATCATTATCAGCCCAATCATCAGTGAAATCATCATCATGTTCCATGCAGGCCCCTGGTGGAGGGGGTGGGGGCTTTTCAGGGGGCGGACCAACAAGACTTCCTGGTGCTACCTGAGACTGGTCCACCATATGCTGATCCTGGTCACATGGCTCAGTCATCAGGAAGACCGTCTCCACCGTCTCCGACGTCTGAAACAGTAAGTGTGGAAAGGAAATTTCAATCAGCTGTTTTGGGCGGGGCCTCAGGTGAGTCATTATATTCAGTTGATTTTAGGGCCCGGTCACACTCGCAATCCGTACTGTGCCATACTGAAGCGCCCCCCTCCACCCCAGGCCCCCCGCTGACCATCACTTAGGGGTGAAGGGTGCTGAGGCACGGGACGGACTGCCCGTGTGACCACGCCCTCAAAGAGCAATGACATCACTGAAAAGAATTCAGACTCTGTTTATGATGTTAAATAATCAGCTGATACAGACAGACAGGTAGAAAGACAGACAGGTGGACAGATAGACAGACAGGTGGACAGACAAACAGGTAGAAAGACAGACAGGTGAACAGATAGACAGGTAGGAAGACAGACAGGTGGACAGATAGACAGACAGGTGGACAGACAGACAGGTAGAAAGACAGACAGGTGAACAGATAGACAGGTAGGAAGACAGACAGGTGGACAGATAGACAGGTAGGAAGACAGACAGGTGGACAGATAGACAGACAGGTGGACAGACAGACAGGTAGAAAGACAGACAGGTGAACAGATAGACAGGTAGGAAGACAGACAGGTGGACAGATAGACAGGTAGGAAGACAGACAGGTGGACAGATAGACAGGTAGAAAGACAGACAGGTGGACAGACAGACAGGTGGACAGATAGACAGGTGGACAGACAGACAGGTGGACAGAGAGATAGGTGGACAGACAGACAGGTGGACAGACAGACAGGTGGACAGAGAGATAGGTGGACAGACAGACAGGTGGAAAGACAGACAGGTGGACAGACAGACAGGTGGACAGATAGACAGGTGGACAGACAGACAGGTGGACAGACAGACAGACACGTGGATAGACAGACAGGTGGACAGATAGACAGGTGGACAGACAGACAGGTGGACAGACAGACAGGTGGACAGACAGACAGATAGACAGACAGACAGGTGGACAGACAGACAGGTGGACAGATAGACAGGTGGACAGACAGACAGACAGGTGGATAGACAGACAGGTGGACAGATAGACAGGTGGACAGACAGACAGACAGGTGGATAGACAGACAGGTGGACAGATAGACAGGTGGACAGACAGACAGGTGGACAGACAGACAAACAGACAGGTGGACAGACAGACAGGTGGACAGATAGACAGGTGGACAGATAGACAGACAGACAGGTTGACAGATAGACAGGTGGACAGATAGACAGGTGGACAGATAGACAGGTGGACAGATAAACAGCACCTTCAGGAGGTTGTGTTCTCTGAAAGTTTTTTGATCGCTGGCCGACTTCAGCAGAGCGCTCAGCGCAGGAGACATTTCATCAAGGGTAGGTTTAGGCTGCATACACACACACACACACACACACACACACACACACACACACACACAGACGCACAGACGCACACAAAGAAACACACACACACACACACACACACACACACAGACGCACAGACGCACACAAAGAAACACACACACACACACACACACACACACACACACACACACACACAGACGCACAGACGCACACAAAGAAACACACACACACACACACACACACACACACAGACGCACAGACGCACAGACGCACACAAAGAAACACACACACACACACACACACACACACACACACACACACAGACGCACAGACGCACACAAAGAAACACACACACACACACACACACACACACAGACGCACAGACGCACACAAAGAAACACACACACACACACACACACACACACAGACGCACAGACGCACACAAAGAAACACACACACACACACACACACACACACACACACACACACACACACACACACACACACAGACGCACAGACGCACACACAAAGACACATTTGTACAGAAAATTTTTAAATTAGTGAGACGGGGAAAATCTTAAATTCTCAGTAGGAAAACTCAGCCAAACTGCAGCCATGCAGGGGGTGAGCTCCTCTCAGGTGAGATCCTCACAGGTGAGCTGCTCTCAGGTGATATCCTCACAGGTGAGCTGCTCTCAGGTGATATCCTCACAGGTGAGCTCCTCTCAGGTGAGATCCTCTCAGGTGAGAGCCTCACAGCTGAGCAGCTCTCAAGTGAGATCATCACAGGTGAGCTCCTCTCAGGTGAGATCCTCTCAGGTGAGAGCCTCACAGCTGAGCTGCTCTCAGGTGAGATCCTCACAGGTGAGCTCCTCTCAGGTGAGATCCTCTCAGGTGAGATCCTCTCAGGTGAGCTGCTCTCAGGTGAGCTGCTCTCAGGTGAGCCACACACATTCAGGAGGGATAAGTGCCTGTTGATCTTTTTTTAATTGAATCTGATTTAATTGAATCTGATCCAGTGATGGGCGGAGCTTACTACAACCAGCCAAACAGAAAAAGGTTGCTGATGTCACTTTGTTTGGGCCTCACACCTGCAGTTACCACCTTTCACCACAGGGGGCACCAGACATAAATTATGTGGAATTCAAACCAGCTGAGAAGCATCGCAAAGGCAATATAACCAATCAGAGCAAAGCCCCAGCCAAAAACAGTGATGCATTCTGGGTGAAAAATAAAACCTGGAGCTGTATCTGAAATCACTCGAACTGATAAATGTTATATTCATTAATATGGATTTTAAATATGATCTGTTTCTAAATTATAATAAATAATAATGTGTTTTATAGAAATAGAGTTTTATTATTTATGTTAATAAAGTTCATCACATTATTTATACAAATTATTATTATATTTATTTTAATCTGACTTTAAGATTTCAGACACAATAAAAGACCAGATTTTAAAAACTGTTTAAACTGATCACCTGACCTCCTGATCACCTGACCTCCTCCTGATCACCTGACCTCATGATCACCTGACCTCCTCCTGATCACCTGACCTCCTGATCACCTGACCTCCTGATCACCTGACCTCCTCCTGATCACCTGACCTCCTGATCACCTGACCTCCTCCTGATCACCTGACCTCATGATCACCTGACCTCCTCCTGATCACCTGACCTCCTGATCACCTGACCTCATGATCACCTGACCTCCTGATCACCTGACCTCCTGATCACCTGACCTCCTGATCACCTGACCTCCTCCTGATCACCTGACCTCATGATCACCTGACCTCCTCCTGATCACCTGACCTCCTGATCACCTGACCTCATGATCACCTGACCTCCTGATCACCTGACCTCCTGATCACCTGACCTCCTGATCACCTGACCTCCTCCTGATCACCTGACCTCATGATCACCTGACCTCCTCCTGATCACCTGACCTCCTGATCACCTGACCTCCTGATCACCTGACCTCCTCCTGATCACCTGACCTCATGATCACCTGACCTCCTCCTGATCACCTGACCTCCTGATCACCTGACCTCCTGATCACCTGACCTCATGATCACCTGACCTCCTCCTGATCACCTGACCTCCTGATCACCTGACCTCCTCCTGATCACCTGACCTCCTCCTGATCACCTGACCTCATGATCACCTGACCTCATGATCACCTGACCTCCTCCTGATCACCTGACCTCCTGATCACCTGACCTCCTCCTGATCACCTGACCTCCTGATCACCTGACCTCCTGATCACCTGACCTCCTGATCACCTGACCTCCTCCTGATCACCTGACCTCATGATCACCTGACCTCCTCCTGATCACC